CGCTCTCTGTCTCTTCTGCTACTGTATAACCTTTCTGCTCCGCACAAGACTGAGCTAGCAAAACAAAGAGAAGCAGAACTTGCCTTAGTCTGGGAAAGCGCTCTTCTTCAGCCTCCATTTCTGAGACACTCAAAGCCGCAGATGCCAGTGCTGGGTCAGTAGGGAATCCGCTCCCGGAATTAGTCCTTGCTGCAGCAATTTTCACTTAAGAAAGCCTCTGTTCTTGGATAGGTCAGTATTTGACTGCCGGAACAGAAATCGTCCCTGGGTCTGTTTTTCTGTAGCCTTATCTTGCAGCGCCACCATGTGTTGTACTTCAACCTAGCTTTTCAGATTTGCTTCAAAACATGCATTCCACTTATTTAAATGTATGCCCCAAAATCCACATATTATGTGTGTGGGGGTATATGTATGTATATATGGTGATAGTATAATTTAAAATGGTAGCTTCTATTTTCCAATGGGATTACAAGTGTGAAAATGGTGTCAGACACTTGGTAAATAAAGCAAGTGCAAAGTTAAGTATATTTATTTATAAGTTTATTAAACTAATAGGTATCAGTTTCATATTATGTACCAGGCACTGTACAAAGTGATGGAAATACAAATCCCTTCTCAGACTTCATGGAGCTTACAATACAACACCTACTATATTGTATAGCGAGTGCTCTGGGGAAACCAATCAGAAAAAGATGTGCAATTATGAGTCTATTTCTAAAGAAAGATTATACACTTTTAAACTGACCACTAGCACAATAGATGAAGAGGTTCATTCACACAGTTCAGGAGTAGGTGCTTAAGTGTTAGACCAGCTAGACCTGATTGATTACGCAAACTAAAACAGTTTAAAGAGTTGCGGATAACTGATTTGTAATTGTTCCCTAAGGACTGTCTCTGTACCTCTGTGAACTTGCTATATGAATTGTTACATTATCTAAAATAATTTGTAAGAACTATTTACATCTATTTCCAGAACTAAGATACACAAATGTTGAAGCTGAGATTCACAAAAATCTTGAAGAGGGTGACAGCCAAGATCACAGAAATAAAGGCTGAAGTTAAAATAGGAATAAAATGTAAGAGAAACAGATTCACCCAAAACAGCAGGTTAGACTTTCTCTCAACTTCGAAAGATCCCAATTCATTTTTAGTAAACAATTCACTTATCTCGTGTAGATAACTTGCGAACAAGTGGGCTTGACGAATGTGTGGGTGCCCAAAATTCCCAAGGGAGGAGGATGGAGGAGAAGGGATAGTGGTGTGACCACGCCCCATGGGGAGTGCTTTCTTGCTTTCTCTATTTCTCTCTCTCCCTCTCTGTTCTCTCCAGTGAGCACACACATGCTCTGGGGAATTAAAATAATAATACTAATCCTGGAGTACATAAAATAATGGAGAGAGACTCCAGTTAATAAAAGACATTTCAGGAAACCCTTTATAACATTACTCTATTAAAAGCCTCATAAATTATAACGTTAAATTTTATTCCAAAAGCCTCTAGTGTAGATTAGTTATCTCCAAACTTGTGCATCCTGCACCCCACTTATTAAGGTACTGTGAGAAGCAGGCAATAAAATACCTAGGTTTTATGGTGTGTAGTCTAATTGAATATTCAAGGTTGCATGTATCTTCCTTGTCTCTTTTGGTATTGCAAAATCTTCCTTCAAGATAGGTTAAATAAAGGAATTATACTATTAAAAAACTAGGGTCCAGACCAGCAGATGGCATAATGGTTATGTCAGTGGACTCTCATATAGTCAACTATGGTTTGAGTCCCAACCCCGTGGCTTAAATCATCCTGGGTGCGTGTGCATGTATGTCCAAAATCCCAAGAGAATGAATGAGAAGGGATTGCAGTGTGGCCATTCCCTCTGGGGGACATGTCTCACTTTTGTCACTCTGTGTCTCCGGTGAGCACACATGCCCTATAGCAAAAATGTCTCTAACAAGTGAAAGAAAAAACCCTAGGGTCTTATGATAGGACCCGTGAGGAAGTATACAGTGAGGATTTAGGGGGAAGTGAAATCTAGAAGTGACAGGTCTAGAATCAAGTAGTTCTCTTTAACTCTACTGTTTTCTAGACTTCTGCCTCCTCCAGTCTTTTATTCCTTACCACTTTAAATTTTTTTCTTTTTCTTTCTTTCTTTTTTTTTTTTTTTTTCCATAGGGTGTGCACACTCACCAGACAGAGCTAGAACAAGACAGAGGGAAAAATGAGAAATCACCCCCAAATGGAATGGCCATGCTGAAACCCTGTCTCCATTTTCCTCTCAGGATTTTGGGCACCCATGCACGTGTGCCTAGTGTGAGTTTCATGCCACTGGGTTTAGACTCAGACCTTGAAGTCAGCCCTGTGGAAACCAGCTGCCTTCACCACCATGCCACAGCTGGCCTGGATTATACTTTTTAAAAATCTAAGTTATATAATCTCTTTAAAAACCAACCTAACCATGAATTGTGATTTTATTCGTATCATGCATTTTTTCTATAATATTATCAACAATATAAAAACTGCTTTGGTGAGAGAATACAGGGCCAGACCCAGAAAGTATGACTGAGACTAGCATACAATTAAACTTGAAGGGAAAGTTAATTTATGTGAGTGAATTACTTGAGTTTGCATTTTGGAACAGATTAAGCAAATCCCAGCTCACCTTAATTTTTTCACTATTAATATAAAGAACGACAAAAGATAGGTTTAAATTTTTTTTAAGCTGAAAACTCTAAAGTGAAACAAAGACACTTAAAATGAAGAACTTTACAATGACTAAAATCTAGAAGAAACAGACTCATTCTAAAAATTCTGCATCATAATCGGGTCCCTAATTGAACCCAAAAGCCTTTCAAAAGGGTGGGACCTTATCCATTTCAGAGCCTTGGGGTAGAAGGTTGGGGATAACCGGCCTAAGGAACTTGAACTCGCTGGCCCCAGTGCCTCCAGTCAGACACACCTCATACTGGTAGCTGTGGGACAGGGTCCCAGTGCCGCTGACGTCCAGCAGGTGGCCCGGGAAGGGGCCCTCGGGCACCGAGCAGCCCCCCAGCGAGGCCGCCCTGGCCCTCCTGCACAGCCGCGCCGCCACGAACAGCAGCCA